ATAAAAATATTTCTGGAAGTAATACATGAATACAGTAAAGTTGCAGGATACAAAATTAATATCCAGAAATCTATAGCATTTCTATATACAAACAACAGGCAGACTGAAATAGAACTGAAAAAAGTTGTTCCATTTACTATAGCCACAAAAAGTATAAGATAGTTTGGGATAAATCTAACCAAAGAAGTTAAAGACCTCTACAAGGAAAACTACGAGAAGTTAAATAATGAAATTGAAAATGACACAAAAAAAAGTGGGAGGATATCCTATGTGCCTGGATTAGAAGAATTAATATACTCAAAATGGCAATTCTACCCAAATTAATCTACATATTTAATACAATGCCAATCAAAGTACCAGACACATTCTTCACAGATCTAGGAAAGACAATCATAAAGTTTGTCTGGAACAGTAAGAGACCCCGTATTGCCAAAATAATTCTGCACAAGAAGGGTGGAGTGGGCAGCATCTCACTTCCTGACCCAAAAATATACTATAAAACTGTGATAATCAAAACAGCATGGTACTGGCACAGAATCAGACAGGTGGACCAATGGAATAGAATAGAGTCCCCAGAAATAAATGTCCAAACATATGGTCAACTGATTTTGATAAGGGGTACCAGTAAATCCAGTGGGAAAAGGAAAACCTCTTCAGCAAATGGTGCTGGAAAAACTGGATTTCCACCTGTAGAAAGATGAATCTGCACCCCTACCTCTCATTTCTGACAAAAATCAAGTCAAGGTGGATCAAAGATTTAAATCTAAGATCCCACCCTATAAAACTGCTCCTGTAAAACACCGGGGAAACTCTGGGATACATTGGGATAGGGCAAGACTTCTTAAATAAGTCTCCCAAGGCACAGTCAATAATCCCCAAAATAGACAAGTGGGATTACATAGACTAAGAAATTTCTGTATGGTAAAAGACACAGTGATTAGTGTGAATAGACAGCCCTGAGAATGGGAAAATATTTTTATAAACTATGCATCAGATAAGGAACTGATAACCAGAATTCACAAGGAACTCAAGCATCTGTTCCGGAAAAAGACAATCAATCCTATTAAAAGATGGTAGAACAAGTTGAAAAAACCACTCTTGAAAGATGACATACGGATAGCTAAAAGGCATATGAAAAAATGCTCAACATCCCTTATTGTAAGAGAAATGCAGATCAAAACAACAATAAGATATCACCTACACCCAGTCAGAATGTCTAAGATTAAAAAAAAAAAAAAAAAA